GGATCATATGGCAACTCTGTTTTTAGTTTTTAAAGGCACCTCCATGCTGCTCTCCGCGTGGCTTCACCAGTTTACATCCCACCAGCCGTGTGGGAGGCGAACAGTGAGGGCTGCTGCTCACACCTAGAAGAAAATGAAGTGCTCTCCAGGCCCCGTGTGAGCTGGCCTCACCTCCTTTCTGCCCTCGCTGCCTCCTCCTCCTTCCTTCTCTCACTTCGCTCTAGTCAGCCCCATCTTCCTTGGCCTCCAGCTCTCTAGTTGTGTTTTTCCTTCACAGCCTTTCCCCTTGTTCATAAGGCCTGGACTCCACGACTCCCCACCCTCAGCGACCCACATGGGTTTTCTTGACTTGCTTTTGACTTTCTTTCTGTGAATATATGGAGTATCCGGTACTGACCGAGATACTGGAGATTCAGCAGGTGAAAATTAGGCACCACTCCCTGTCTTCACGGCCCTTCCGTTCTCGTGGGGGGATCTGACAACAGACAGGATAAATAAGTACGCCGTGTTGCGTGGTGGGCAGCGTAAGTGCTGAGGTGAGAAATAGAGCGGAGGAAGGGGTCGGAAGGTCATCGTTGGATGTGAGAGTGACGGCAGCTTTATACGGAGGCGGCAAGCAAGGCCACGCTGAGGGAGCGGGTTTGAGGAGAGGCTAGAAAAAAGTTGGGGGAATAAGCAAATCCACAGCAAGTGCAAGACCTGGAAGAGGACGGTGTGGAAGAGAACAGGGCGCCCAGAGAGGCAGCTGTGTGACCTCACTCACTCTCCTCTTACCTGCGCTAGTTTTTCCACAGAACTTGCACAGTTACAGAATTTATCATTTCACTTATTTACTGTCTTTCTGCCTCACTAGAAAATAAGCTCCATAAAGGAAAGGCTTTGTTGTCTTCATCATAGCAGCGTCTGACCCATACAGGGAACTCAATTTTATTGAATAAATTAACGAACCAAAGGGAGGTACCTAGAACACAGCATTAACTATGGGGGAGTAAAAAGAGGAAGGGTCTTAGAACTTGTCAGGAGGGCACAGACTGGCCTGGTAGCCTTTATGGGTCCTGGATAGCATGTTTGCGATGGGTGTGGAGGGGCAAAGCAACAGAGAAAAACCAAAGTGATAGCAACAGTTCTAAGGCTTCCTTATGGACAGTTGAGTGAGAAGATTGTTGCACAGTTGACTGTGGTGTGTTCTTTCTCCTCTCCCCAACTCTTTTATGATTTATTTATCCTCTTAAATAGATCCTTCACAAGACTGAGCAGGTGGTATTATGCTGATACTTTAATCATTTTACTTATTTACTGTCTTTCTGCCTCACTAGAAAATAAGCTCCATAAAGGAAAGGCTTTGTTGTCTTCATCATAGCAGCGTCTGACCCATACAGGGAACTCAATTTTATTGAATAAATTAACGAACCAAAGGGAGGTACCTAGAACATAGCATTAACTATGGGAGAGTAAAAAGAGGAAGGGTCTTAGAACTTGTCAGGAGGGCACAGACTGGCCTGGTAGCCTTTATGGGTCCTGGATAGGATGTTTGCGATGGGTGTGGAGGGGCAAAGAAACAGAGAAAAACCAAAGTGATAGCAACAGTTCTAAGGCTTCCTTATGGACAGTTGAGTGAGAAGATTGTTACACAGTTGGCTGTGGTGTGTTCTTTCTCCTCTCCCCAACTCTTTTATGATTTATTTATCCTCTTAAATAGATCCTTCACAAGACTGAGCAGGTGGTATTATGCTGATACTTTGTATCCCTTGGAGAACTGACAAATCCCACTCTACTCATTGCTAACATAATTTTAATTAAGGTATCTGAAACCTCTCGTTAAGACTTAACTGTAATCTCATTTACTATGTGGGAAGTGTTATCTATTTCATGACTAGAGGTAAAATCTTAGGAAAGAGATATCCGCAGACTGCAGAGTATGAGACACAGCTAAGCCTGAGAGACTGGAGAACATCCTGCGATGAAATGATGTATGTGAAAGAGCTCCACAAGCATCGAAGTATACAAATAGTGTCATTGAAAAGACAACTCCGCACTTTCTTGTCTCAGCTTGAAAAAAGCCAGACCTTCAAAACTACAAGTACATTGTAAACAAAGAAAAAACAGTTTCCTATGAACTCAGATATTTACACAGTGTCATTCAAAAGGAAATACTGTAGGCTGTGAATTTTTTATCCAAAATATTTTAAACATTCCTATGCCAAAGAAGAAAGGAAAGATAAGAAAGGAAAAGAAAAGGAGTCTCTCCTGCAATAGAGATGGTAAAGCTTTGTGTAAGTAACTTGTGGAGGGCGGTGAGTGGACATATCTGATCCTCATGGAAACAGCTCTACACATAGCAAGCTCAAAGCAGAGAGCTAAATAATAAAACGCAGAAGTAATTTCAGGAGACTGAGTTACTAATACCACCCCCAAGAGTTCCTGCTGAGAGTCCTGCCATTTTTGTTAAGCTTGGGTTCTTTTATCTTGTCTGATTTCCATCATAAGGAGAGGTTACCAAAGAAAATGAACACATCTGAGCACAGTCATCATACATTATTACAAAGTGGTTATTACTAAAGGTGTTAAGCAGTTCTTTCCTCTCCTGAGCTTCCCTTCTGATTGCTGTTAACTGCGGTGGGAAATAGTGTGTGCTGCTTAAGTCAAAGTATTAGTCCCTCAATCCTGTCCGACTCTGCGACCGCGTGGACTGTAGCCCGCCAGGCTCCTCTGGCCATGGGATTCTAACACTGGAGTGGGTAGCCATGCCCTCCTCCAGGGGATCTTCCTGACCAAAGACCGAACCCAGGTCTCCCACACTCTGGGTGAACTCCATACCATTGTGCCACCAGGTCAGCCCATGCTGCTTGTAAACTAGTCAAAAAAGATGCAGTTCAAATGAGAGATGCTTGAAGCATGTAGATCTTCCTTACATGTCAACACATCAGAAGATAACCTAAATTTTCTGTTACATCAGAAATAAATAAGATATCCATTTTAAAGTCATTTTGCAAGATGAACTTTTGAAAGTATATGCATTTTATATACTTCGTGACACATGAATTTATTCACAGTGTAAGAATAAAAACATTTTGAAATAGACCAAAGTAGCTTAGAATCAGTTTTACTTATTTCCCCTACCTGCAAGGCTTGCTTTCTCTTGATTTGGGTGGAATAGAAAATGACGGTGACAGACAGCCTCACTGCTGTTTCGTTGCTAGGTAACATGTGTGCCCATTTAACCTGCTTCCTGACAGAGTGCTGTTTCCCGAACACCATGTAAAATACGTGCCTTTGTTTCCTGGGAGAGGAGAGAAGAAGGGTTGATAGCATGTCTGTTCCACATTCACTTAGCAGAGGAGACAGGAAAGGCGAAGGATACACACACAAAGGGTGAGCTCCAGAAAGCTCACAGAAAGCTGACAGCCCCATGCCACACGCGGGCGATGTAGTCGGGAGCCTGGTGCATCTCAGCGCGTGTTCAGAGGTTTTCAGGTCAAGGAGCAGACAGAGCGTTTGCTTTGCCCCCGTCTTCTCCATCGTCCTTCTTTGCTGTCTTGACCCCACCGTCTCACATGCTTGGAGATGCATGAAAGGAGCTTCTGCGTGTGTTTCCCTGAGTGGTGTAAACAAGGCTTCCGTGGTGGCTCAGACGGTGACGAATGCGCCTGCAGTGCCGGAGACCCGGGTTCAATCCCTGGGTCGGGAAGGTCCCCTGGAGAAGGGGATGGCTACCCACTCCAGTACTCCTGCCTGGAGAATTCCAGGGACAGAGGAGCCTGGTGGGCTACAGTCCATGGGGTCGCAAAGAGTTGGACAGGACTGAGTGACTCACACTTATAAATAAACTCTCTCTCTCTACTCCTCCCACCCCCATCTCTCTGCTCTAAAGAAGTGTATTCCCAAAATATAAATTTATTTTGTGTGAGCCTTGAAAAATAGGCTTACAGAGTTCACAAAGGGATGGGATACCTGGCTTCTGATTGTCATATTCTACCCCCCAAATTCTCCCAGCTCCACTTAGCACCCATCCACACACACAGACACACGCACACACACATGCACGCGTGCACACACATGCACGCACACATATGCACACACACACATGCATGCACACACTCCCCCTCGCTGTCAGTACCACCAGCCCTCACATGCACACGCACACACACGTGTGCACACACATGCACGCACACACGCACGCACACACACGCGCGCACACACTCCCCCTCGCTGTACCACCAACCCTCACACACACACGCACACACACGTGCACACACACACGCACACACTCCCCCTCGCTGTCAGTACCACCAGCCCTCACATGCACACGCACACACACGTGTGCACACACATGCACGCACACACACACGCACACACGCGCGCACACACTCCCCCTCGCTGTCAGTACCACCAGCCCTCCTGACTCCCGCATTTAACACATTGAGGCTCTGTAGCCTGCTTGAAGCGGACGTCCTGTGTTGTCAGAAGCCCAGGCGTGCCCTCCCCCAGCTTCCGGGGTGTGCTCCGCGGTCCCGGCCGCGCGTGCTTCCCCGTCACGCTCGGGGGCCCCAGGCCCGGCCTCCCCAGCCTGCTCATCGCCCCGGTGTCGCGCTCCTTCCCTGTGTCTGCTCTGTGGCCACGCGGGCGGGGACCGCCCCTCCCAAACAACAGAGGCTCCGTGGTTGCTCCTGGCGATCATATACTTGGCCCCTGTGTTAAAGTCATCATGACATCCACCTAAGATTTGGACTTCTAAAAAGTCTGTCTCGATATTGGTAGGAATGTAAATACTCCCTTGAAGAGATGATAGATGTCAATGTGACATTTCTAATGCCACCATACTTGAGCGGCACGCCAGTATAGTGTTTGACAGCACATATGTTTGTCTCCCTTCGTGACATGTCCCTGAAGTGTGACCATAGTCTCTCTCTGATGTGGGCGTTGATGTTCAACGTCCCTTTTTCACCTTACAATATACCCTTTGTTTTGGTGCAGCTTTAAATAAAGAGCTTGTTTTTCAGATTTTAGATGAAAGTGACACTGATGTTCCATTGAAACAAGAGGAAAAGGAAGTTTCTCTTATGAAAAAAGGTAAAAAAAAGAATTCCATTTACATATATTAGTTGTAATGTCTTGAGTCGTTTTCAGTTTAACTTATGTGACATATCTTACGGTAGCAGTTTGGATTTTGAAAAATTAAATCTGTTGTTCCAGCAGTGGGAGGAGAGGTGATAGAGACTGTGCTGCCGGCCTCACACATTTTGAAGGGTTTTGAAGGGGCGCTTCCTGCCTGAGAATAATGCCCCGCACATGACCTCACTGCCTAGAATCCCCAAGGGTGCACGGATTTCACCCTCCTCATTGAATTTTATTTAGAAATCTGCTGAGGATTGATATCAGGCCTGTCATTTTCAGAAGCTATTTTTGAAAATGATGATGACCTTCCTCTGTTTTCAATCATGTAGTTCGTTCCCTATTTTGCATGATTCCTCTGAGATCACTAAGAGCAGTTCAACAAACACATTTATTATCCATGGGGTGTAATTTGTCTCAGATGAGAGATTTGACCTTTTTTTAAACATAAAGTTTCCATGTTATAATTTTCAACCTAAAGACAATTTCCCAGGACAGAGGAGCTGGAAACAAACTAGACTCAGAAGATTTTGTTTTCTTTAGTGTTCCTTTGTTGTTATTACTAGAATTCATTATGTTCATAGTATTATTATACCATTGTCTCCTTTATTGTAATATTATGCCATTGGCTTAAACAGCAGAACCACTATTTTTTCATTGTCATCTTCCTAATCTGAAACAAGTGTTAAAGGCTTTCTTAGTCTCCTAAACAGGTCTGTGTTCATTTTGACTCAGCCATTCCCAGTCATTTTTGTGTTGATCCATGCCATCATTTCGTGTTCACTCCTAGATGTAAGCACTCCTTTCCTTTATGCTTTGTTGCTTAGGTAACCTAATCAGTCATTCATTCACATCTTTATATTTGAACCCATTAGTGCAGGCCATAAGAAATCACACTTTTTCTTTTTCATCATAATTGGGATAATTTGCCATTACACAATCAAGATTTCTTTTGTAAGAGTCTCTTGATTTTAAAGCCAATCTTTTATAGAAGTTTCAAACTATTAATGTGCCTTCAAGTACGTGCCTGTTGGATTTCCAAATGGTAATAGAAAAATTTGTTAGTACAATTTTGATCCTAAAATTAACATTTAATTTCAAATACTCATCCTGGATTTGGAAGGAACAGATTGTGAAATATTTTCAAATGACTGTAATTATGAATTAGCTGGCTATTAGGTTAAGAAATGTCACTTTGCATGCAGACCCCGAGTAAAACCAACACTGCCTGCAGTGTGCTTGGAAAACCTCCCAGTGTGTTCGCTCCTACGTCTCCTTAGAGTAGTCGGGCAGGCCCTCCCCATCTAAAACATTCGTTCCTTCTTGCGGTCCTGTTCCCCTTGGCCCTCGTTGCCCTGGACTTTCTAGCAAGGGTTTACCTGGTGGAACAACATCACAGTTATCACAAAGAATTCTAGAGTTAGATGGAAGAAGGACACGTTGACTTATTTCTTAGACTCTCCCCAGGATCCTCCCTAAACCAGTCCAAGGGGATCCAGGCGTTTCTGCTTTTCTGTGGACTGTTAACAGGGCACTCACCCCTGGACCTCTCGATTCTGAGGCTCCCTGGGTGAGAAGGCCAACTCAGTGACTGTAGGTCTCTTCCTGCTTTGAAACCCGACTCTCTTCTAGGGGCACATTTCTGATCGGGGTCTTTCAGGATGTCTGTGAACTTGAACCCGAAGGGAGAGAGTAGGATCCAGGGAAGGCAGGTGGTTGTCTGGGTGCAGAGGCTGCTGAGAGGAGGGACACCAAACAGCTCCCGTCGGTCATCCCGTGCACACCAGTAGCAGAACAGAAGCATCATTAGAAAGAAATTACAGAGAAACAAGCTGCAGAGGCTCTCAGATTCTCATACACTATGTACACTCTATTAAGAGGTCATTGTAAATTGTCTTGAAAGGATATTGGTGCAGTTTTAACAAAAGAGTGTTTGAATACAAAGCCAAATTACATGTAAGTTGTTAATGAGCTGCTAACACCTCTTTTAGTTCACTCTTATATGTGATTGCCAAAATGTGGTTATCTTCATTTTTGTCTATGTTCTTTTGAAGAAAAACAGGAGCTGTGCAGTGATACCCCAGAAATAAAGAGAAATTCTTCATCACCTAACTGGGAAAGGTGAGTGTACTGCAATTATACAAAATTCCAAGGGAGTACAATTATACTGTTGAAAAGTAATTATCAGTGTTTAAATACAAGAAGAAAGAAAATAATAGCAACAAGCAAAGGCAATTAAAAGTGGAACAGAATTTTAAAGGAGACGGGAAAGAATAGAATACCCTAGATTTCTTATTCTTTTCCCAAACCTTTTCATTTTCTTTTGTGAGGATTCAGGAATGGAACAGGCTTAACTTCCTACTCACAGCAAGCAACTAACTCAAATTACTGTAATATAGTCAAAGAATGAAAATGTCATGTATTTGTAAGGTATGACTATGAAATCATGACCTAGTTTTTTTTTGTATGGCTTATAAACTTATTTCCATACATGTATGTAAGTGTAATAATCATTGTATGCTAGGATATTCTTGACATGAGGCTTATTCTTACCTCACTCTGTCTGAATACGTCTGTATGTGTGTATGTGTATACACATGTTGTGTATGTGTGTTTGTGTATTATTTCATATATTACTTTTAGATTTTTGTGAATTTGTGATTTTCTTTAAATAATCTTTGAATCGTAACTACAATATGAATGTTAGATCTATGATCCAGTTAAGAAAACCTTAATGGAAGAATCTTATCAAATTCATTTAGTAGTGGTAGTAATAATGAAGATGATTATAATGAAAGTGCTAACTCGGTACCATCTACTGAGGACTCAGTAACAGGAGGCATAGATTCTGAGTATATCTTGTATACTGAGGACTCAGTAACAGGAGGCAGAGATTCTGTGTATATCTTGTATACTGAGGACTCAGTAACAGGAGGCATAGATTCTGTGTATATCTTGTATACTGAGGACTCAGTAACAGGAGGCAGAGATTCTGTGTATATCTTGTATACTGAGGACTCAGTAACAGGAGGCAGAGATTCTGTGTATATCCTGTATACTGAGGACTCAGTAACAGGAGGCATAGATTCTGTGTATATCCTATATACTGAGGACTCAGTAACAGGAGGCATAGACTCTGTGTATATCTTGTATACTGAGGACTTAGTAACAGGAGGCAGAGATTCTGTGTATATCTTGTATAATTGGGCACAGCTCTGTGAAGTGGGCTCTGGTATTATGTGGTGGGAGAAGACGCAGAGGTTCAAGGAGGCATGTCTGTCCATGCCAACAGCAGTCTGAGTGTCCAGCTTCCCCAAAATGGTAAAATTAAAAAAAAAAAACTTTAAGGACTTCTCTAATAAAATTTCAGCATAAAGGAGGTTATAATTAATAAGTGCCAGACGCTGTGTGAATGTTCTTTAATGGACAATTAAGCATTAGTTATAATGTTCTTAGTCTTAAGTACAGGATCAGCTGAAGTTAGACAGTATAATTAATGCCAAAGAACTGTTGACAGTAGAACCACTTTGATTTGCTCTAAACTATTATCCAGTTTTTTAAAAAAGACCCATATGGTGTGAATACAGGAAACTCTCTAGAGCTGTGGTCTTAATTCATGGATGTTAGCACGAAGGGATGACAGAAATCTCCTTTTCGCTTGATAGACAAGACTCTGCATCATCTGGCCCCAACCTGCCTACCCAGTTTGCCTCCCATCCTGCGTATCCCTCAGCCCTCTGAAGCTTTTTTATGCTTGTAATACTGAAACCCGTAGGCCTCTCAACACCCTACACACTGCCTCATGGATCATCATTGTTCGTTAATCTCCATGCTGCCGCCAGTTACCCTTTTAAAACACGCGTCCGTCAGATTGCCTGCCTCCCATGTAAGAAACGCTCGGGTGGGAGCGCCTGCTCTGCTAGAAGCAGCTCCAGTCCCCACGCCGCGGCCAGTGCCCCCCAGGCCCTCTCTCTGCGTCTTCCTGGGGCCCGCCCCTGCAGCCTGGCCTTCTCAAGCATCTCTCAGAGACCCTGCTCTATTTCTGCCCTAGTATCATTAGCCTTCACCTGAAGCACTTCTTCCCTCAGATCTTAACTATTTCTTTCGACTGACTTTGCTTTATTTCTGGACCTACGCTTAGTACCTACCCTCCCACAGGCTGATGGCTCAGACTGTGGAGAATCTGCCTGCAACGCAGGAGACCTGGGTTTGATCCCTGGGTCAGGAAGACCCCCTGGAGAAGGAAATGGCAACCCACTCCAGTATTCTTGCCTGGAGAACTCCACGGACAGAGGAGCCTGGCAGGCTGCAGACCATGGGGTCACCAAGAGTCAGACATGACTGAGCAACTAACATTGTCACTCTCCCACAGGCTTAAGTAGAACTTGGGTTTCAAAACTTCTTTCAACAAATAAGAGGCAAGTGGTAGATGACTGCTGTTGTTAAAAATTAATTACTGCCAATTCTATTTAACTGTGGTTGCCCAAAAACCTTGAAACAAGATTTTTCAGGAATAAATGGTATTCATATAATTGAGAATTGCTTTTATATAGCTGTGTAAATGACAGTTTTCAGCATTACATTTATGTACATGCATTCATTTGTTATATATTGACACCTCATTTGTTGTGTATTAATATTTTTTCATTTATTAGATCTAATGTGATTTCCACTTTGAAATTCTAAACCTCAGCTTGTTTTTGCCCAGCATGCCAGTGGAAGATTTAAATCCAAGTTCTGGACACAAAGCCAGAGTTTCTGTGAGTGGTGGTTGTGTAGCTGCTTCTTCACTGCCAGAATCTTCTCAAAGCACGTCTGTCAAGGAAACAGTGAGAAAACTGACATCTAATTTAAGGTAGAGATATTTACCTGCTTTGTTGAGTTTTCTAAGCGGTGACAACTGCTGATTTTCTTTCTCTATTGAGTGGTAATATTATTGAGAAAATTCAATAGANCTCTCCCTCCTTCCCTCCTTCTCTCCCCCCTTCCCTCCTTCTCTCCCTCCTTCTCTCCCCCACTCTGTTGTGTCCCTTCTTCTTTTTTTTTCTATTCTGCCTCACTCAGACCCTAATGACAGTATGGCCTTCTAAGAAGTCTGTTTTGCAGCTTTAGATACTGAACTCATTGAGAGAAACTAAGTTTTACTTTTTGCTTCAGTGTAGAATCTTACCATTCGTGGGCGTGGTTAATGAGGGATTTAAATGTCTGGATCTCAGTCCTCGAAGGATGGAGTTGTGGTTCAGTTGCTGTGTGTCTGACTCTTTGAGACCCTATGGACTGTAGCCTGCCAGACTTCTCTGTCTGTGGGATTCTCCAGGCAAGAATACTGGAGTGAGTGGCCATGGCCGCCTCCTGCAGTTTGCTCAGATTCCTGTCCATTGAGCTGGTGATGCCATCCAATCATCTCACTCTCTGTTGCCCCCTTCTCCTCCTGCCCTCAATCTTTCTAAGCATCAGGGTCTTTTCCAATCAGTCAGCACCTCACATCCAGTGGCCAAAAATTGGAACTTTAGCTTCAGCATCAATCTTTCCAATGAGTAATCAGGGTTGATCTCCTTAAGGGTGGATTGGTTTGATCTCCATGCTGTCAAAAGGACTCTCAGGAGTCTTCTCCAGCACTACAACTCGAAAGCATCAATTCTTTGGCGCTCAGCCTTCTTTACGGCCCAGGTCTCACATCTATACTACTGGCAAGGATGGAGACATGAGCGTAAAGTTCAAGGTTCAGAGATTTTCCAAGTAGGGACCAAAGATAGGGGTCTTTACAGTCAAGCCAAAGAAGTGACTCTACAGAAGAATGCCCTCAAACAGGTGTCATATGAGAGGCTGGGGTCAGGAGCAGAAACACCGTAAGGCAGTGCAGCCCATCGGTCTGGTTGGGCTTCAGAGACTGTGAGCGGCCTGGTTCAGCAGAAGGAAACACAGCGTGTTCTGGCTGGAAGAGTATTTTCCCTTAGGACACCTTGGCTTTCTCATCAGAGACTGACAACATCTCCCTGAAGAAGAGAGTTGGCAAAGGATGCAAACAGGTAGGAGAGAAAGGTAGAGGTAGGGCATATATACAGGGAGCTAGGGCCCCTGCTCAGGCCCAGGCTGGGGGCTGAGGTCCTGTGTGTGAAAGCAGACTGCAAACCAAGAATTATCCAAGCCTTTCTGCAGCTGCCCAGGCTCTAGGGAAGTCTCTGCGGCGGCGTCCAGGGCCATGGGGCTGTGCTGCATGAGCAGGAAGGCCAGCTGCTGTGCTTTAGGAACATGCGTCCGATGCCTGTCCTGCCCCAGGGGAAAGAGGGGCGCTCCTGTTATATGTGGGTGGATCCACCTTGGACTTTGCATCAGGACGCATTTTCACTAATGAGGGTAGGAACCCAGTGACAAGTTGTTGACCAAGGGATGACGTCCGTGTGCTGCCTCCCTGAGCTCTGAGCCGGGACCGCCAACTCCGCGTGTTGCCGGCGTCGGCAGGCTTGTGCTCACGGGAGTAGAGCGGAAAACCAGACCTCGGGACGGCCCCAGTATCACCCAGTGACGTGGTGGTGTCAGTGTCAGATTGCCGTGGCCTCCGGTGTAGTCCCTGAAGAATGGGATTCTCCAGCCGTTTTCTTGCCTTCTGTCAGTACTTGATCAGAAGTGTGATGTAAGATCCTCATCTTTGATGTTGGGTAGCCATAACTTTGAATCCTGGATTCTTACTAGTTATGAAATTCAGGCATGTCAGTTGGTCCCTGAGACATGGTAGTATGCAGTAAATTATATATGAATATGCTTGTGTACATCTAAATAAATATGTGCATATTATTTTTAAATGTATGGACAATGTATATGACATGTCCAATGACTGGAACATTGCTTCAAGTGAACCAGGCCTTCTTGATAATAATAGCCACCCTTAAAAGTCATTATTATTATATTTTATTCATTCACTCAAGTGGTTTGTATACATTAGCTCCTTGCACAAACTTACAAAGCTGATATTATTTTTAACTTTTTTTTTTTAAGTTACACTGAAAAAGAGAAACTAGGAAATTCCCTGGTGGTTCAGTAGTTAAGACACTGAGCTTCCAGTGCAGGAGGCCTGGTCTCAATCCAGCTAAGGTCCCACATGCTACGTGGTATGGCCAAAAAAAAAAGAAAGATAGCAACCAAGTGACACTTGAAGTCACAGAATTACACAGCTGCCAAGGACAGGGCTGTGTTTGAGTCCAGGCTCCCTGATTTGGAATTTCATCCTCTTAATCACAGTGCACACACACACACACTCACCTACATACAGATGCACACACTTACATACACACACACACACACGTTTTATAATACATACACACATGCAGAGACCACACATGCTTTGCTGTCTCTACACTGTAAGCGTGGAGAGACTTGCCTGGTTGTATGGTAGCAGAGTTTGGATGTACGACTATACATTATCATTTTCTTTATTTTTTTACTTCTCTAATTTTTGTTCTGCCTCTAAGTGTATCATCACTGTTCACTTTAATGAGTTACATGTGATGAAAAAGGAGATGGTCTGATTGAGAGTGCTAAGACTGTAAGGTGCATCAACTTCTATAATTAGGCATCAGTAGAAAATTAAAATTTCCCAGAAACCATCTCCCTAATGAACATGCAGAATCTTCAGTACTTAAAATCATCATAGTATTATCAACTGAATTCTCTGAAAGCCAAATGAATTAATAAATAAGCTCCTTTCTATACTGGCTTGAATATTTTTGTGGTGATTATTTTATAAAAGTATTCACTGGGAAAAGAATTGTACACAACACCAGGTTTTAGCTGGAATAAAAGGAGCTCCTCATGTACCGATTTTCTCTTTTGCCTCTAGCAAGATGTAGTGTGTTTTCTTACATTTCGCCAGTGAAGACAGATTTCTTGTCTTCTGCGTTATGTTTTTTTCTCCTCCTTATACTGCACTGTCCTACTGTTGGGTCCACATGTTAGTCCTTGTGTTAACTAGACTTTAAATTCTCCCAGGCACGAAGGTTTTGGTGGCCTGTCTACTGCATGGAGGGCACCGTATTCTTTATAATCACGGCTGCCCACCAGACTTGTCTTGCTTGCCACAGATAAGAGAGCAGTCAGTTCCTTTGTGGGGTGTGGAGTGTTCCCTCTACTCGGGTCACTTCGAATGTGACATCCTCCTTATCCCTTTCAACACTGCTAAGTGGGCCTCTTCCATTAGGTTCATTTTATAAATTAATAAAAATGGTAGTTCTTATTGTCCACTTTATCACCCGATTATGCTCAGTTTACCATTTCCCTATCTTGCATTATTTTTTGTTTTATGTGTATTAATTTGTTTAATCTGCAAATGTAGTAATTCCTTTGAAAACAGATTGAATCTTCCACACCGTGTCTGACATGTATTAGTAGATTTTAAATGAACACTTTTAATTAAATTGAAAGGGATTAATGTAAAAAGCAATGAATAATATTGCTGGATGTTAAAGTATTTTCAAATAATGGGGTGCAAGTGAGTTGTGTTATTAAGAGGTAAATGAGGTAAACTGAGATCCAGATTGCTGAATTTTGTCAAATGGTCCTAAATATTGGAGTGGTATCAAATCACTTTCAATGACAACAGTACTATTTATGATCCACTTACTATGTGCCAGGCCGTGTCCTGAGGCTTCTGCATATGCTAACTCACTTAAACCTTACAACTGCCCTATAAATAGATACTTTCATTATCCCCATTTACAGATGAGAAAATTGAGGTATGCAGAGGTTAAGTAATTTGCCCAGTATTACATAACTCTTAAGTGGTAGAGCTGGGATTTAAATCTTGGCAATCTGGTCTCATAGTTTTTACTCATAAATGATAACCTGTAATGCCTTTTTAGTTTATCATTGTATATGTAAACTTGATAATAAGTCAGACTTCATTGATTTCACCTGTACAAAAGTACAAATATGCTTTATATTACCTTAACTTTTAAAAATACCAAAAAAAAATTTTTTAAGTCACTTTTTACAGGTTGCTGCCAGTTATGGCAACCCCCTCCAATATTCTTGCCTGGAGAACCCCATGGACAGAGGAGCCTGGCAAGCTACAGTCCATAGGGTTGCAAAGAGTTGGACATGACTGAGCAATTGAGCATGTATGCCTACCAATTATGGAAGCAAAAGAAAAGATCACAATTTTTTTTTTTAATTAGCAGTTGAGGTCTATCAGAAATCAGGATTTGACTCTTGGGTTTAAAAAGTGGAGCCTTTTTCTGTGGCCTTTTCACTGGAGTGAAGAAGGGAGTTTCGCTCTTCCTGAGGTAGGAGGCTTGCTCCTCGCTTAGCCAAGACCAAACTTATTATTAACTAATTTACGCTTCAAAGAGAACAAGATGATGTGGAAACTATGCATCTCTGCTTGTATATAGAAAGACTGGAGCTGTGTGAATGCAAGAAAGACTTTTCTTCAGGAAGGAGTACTCTGTTGAGAAAGGGTATGACCATGGACTGAAAAGGAAGTGGCCCTGAGCTGGAGCTTTTCAGAGCCTGGTCTTCATATATGTGGAGACAGAGCTGATTCCGTGTTGTAGCTCAACTAGTTGAACGCAATAAAAATTTGCAGCTCAGACTTGCAGATACAGATATGGTTTCTGCAGAAACGGGCAGCATAGCCAAGAACTATCACAGTCCTGGAGGCAAACAAGAGCTCTGACGGATCTTTAGGGTACTTATTTCTTGAGCTCCCAAGAAGAGAGATAATGTCATTAAAGACAAATTCCTGGTTTTATTATCAAGTTTGGGGGTTGAGTTGTGAGTAAATGCCCCAAGGGAAGAAGGGGTGTTCCTGCTGCAAAAACTCCCCATGAATGGTGGCGCTTGGTTCGTGTGTGTGTATGTGTGTGTGAGTCGCTCAGCCGTGTCCGACTCTTTGAGACCCTGTAGACTCTAGCCCACCAGGCTCCTCTTTCCATGGGATTCTCCAGGCAAGGATACTGGAGTCAGTTGCCATTTCCTTCTCCAGGGGATCTTCCCGACCCAGGGATCGAACCGGGTCTCCTGCATTGCAGGCAGATGCTTTACCGTCTGAGCTACTACGGAANCGACCCAGGGATCGAACCGGGTCTCCTGCATTGCAGGCAGATGCTTTACCGTCTGAGCTACTACGGAAGCCCACTTAGTTCACGAGTCCCCCCGGAATACACAGCATCCACCTGGATACTCCAGACAGCAGTTTATTCCTATTGTTTTGTGCTGAGCACCTCCTTGTGGGACCCTCTGTGGATTAGAGGATCACTATCTCTGTCTTAAAGGGAACCTAAAGTTTGAGGGTGGAGAGAGGTTTGATGAAATATATCCTCAGGAACAGAAGAAGGTGTCATTGAAGACTATCTTTGAAGAAAGGGACTCAGGACAATAAATAAAGGAATTTTTAAAGAGTTCTCAAGCACCTCCATTCAGACCCTACATTTGTGATTTTTGGTAGGTTACCCTCTTTTCAGTAGTGTCTAAGAGTTTTCCCGAGTTAAGTTTTTCAGGAAAAGGAAAATGTGAAGGTCTGTGTGTTTGTGCTTGCAAACTGCAGGAGCAGGATACTATAATTTGTTTTCTTTATCAGTCTCATGGGACAGAATCCCCAAGGGAAGAAGTGTTTAGCAGAAGCGATACGGAGAAGGGTACAAAGCTAGACACCAGGGCCCCGGAGGGAGAGGGGCAGGGGAGGAGACAAAGGTCGGGGTGGGCGTGTGCTGAGTCTCTCAGTTGTGTCTGACTCTCAGTGGCCCCATGGACTGCAGCCCGCCAGGGGATCGTCCCTACCCAGGGGTCGAACCCACGTCACCTGCATCTGCGGCATTGGCAGACAGATTCTTTACCACTGATCCATCTGGGAACTCCCAGGGTAGGGATGAGGGTCCTTAACAATTAAAGAACCAGAGAGATTGAAGTAGGAATAAGTCCTCAATCAAAGAGCTTCCGTAAGTATTATGTGAAGTTTTGTATACAAAGCCTATGGCAACATTTAGCACATTTTTAGCACTTGAGAAAGAATGGCTGAATCTGACCAGGGCTCTCAACACCATCAGAAAACACTCAGTTCTCCAGCATGCAGTGCACTTGGCCTGCAATTCTCTTTTCATAGGCTGATCCCCCTGCCCTCCAGCTGGCTAATTCCAGCTCATCCTTTGGGGCTTCCCAAGCACAAAGCTGGGCCCCTCCTTTAGGTAACCATGAGGCTGCATTCTCATTTTAGCCTCTGTGACACTGTAGTGGATAGTTTTCTTCCACGTCTGCATTCTCTACTAGGCTGAATTCGGTGTAATAAGATTGCATTGGGTTCCTCGCATGGGGGCATGATGCCAGGCTCTGGAAAGTGCCACTAGATAAAGGCTGGGTTTTAGTAGAGGTTTGGGAAATGTCAGTGGAATGAATGAGCTTGAGGATATTGAGAATGAGCCTGAGGATATTGAGAAAATACAACCATGACAAGAGCTGTTTGTANTGAGGATATTGAGAAAATACAACCATGACAAGAGCTGTTTGTAACAAGTGATTCCATAAAACCTTTATATAAAGTGTTTTACTTTAAAATAATCTCTCTCTCTCTCTGTGTCTGTGTCTTTACCTCTCTGTCTTTAGAAATAATAGTACACATGCGTGACATTATTCAGACTGTAATGACATTTCACGTAAATTTTGATGCAGAGGTTTTATAGACCGAGAGTGATCCAGAACAGATTCAGGACTGTGCCTCTCCCCAGCCTGCCGCTTTACTCTCCCCACTCCCCACCACGTGCCACCACCTCCACATGTTTGTTTTTCTAGAAATGCTTCCTTGGAAGATTGCTGATTAGCTCTAAATCTAAATCTAAACCCAGAAGAATTTATACCCACCATGAAAAGGACCGATGCTTAGATGAGGTTTCAACTCTGTGTTCGTATTGGAGGGAAGGAGGCTAGATTTAGGGAAGGAAAGGGGTGGTTTGTATTTAAAAACCTCTCACCACTTCTGCCCCACCAAACCCACCCTAAACTTGACCCCAGGCCCCCTTTCCCAGGGAATCTAGTTGAAGCTTTTCTTTCTATGCCGTCTAATTTCTGCTCAGCTCAAATACCCAGAAACTCCATGTCATCCTGCCTCCTACCCACTCAGCTTCTTCTAGCCAGGCAGATAATTCTGAGGTTCTGTGTGTGTGTGTGTTTTACGTTCACTACTGTGAAATCCTGAGGAGTTTTAACTTTTTAGATTAAATCACCTTAAAATTACAAATGAATATCGCCACCAATAATATACTTAAAATACTGGGAGTGTAAATTACATAAGAAAGAGCTGTTTTATTCTTTATGTGCCAAGTTATTTTATAATTGAAAAAAATTTGTAAATCCCTTGGAAGTTCTTGGAACACTTCAACATAAAACATTATTCACTTTTAAGATGTGGTAGCTGTAAATTTCTAGATTTCCTGTTCTGCCAGGAATGAAATATGTATCGTCTGTGTGATTAATCCTAGAAAAGTCATCACACTAGAAGGGCAGAGTGCTCCTGCCTTCTGACAAAATGAAGCACCTGTCAGAACAATGACCATTGCCGTCTAGAAAGAGCTGGGTCCATGTGTGAGCTCTTGAAATAGTCCTGGATGAGAACATTACTCCAGAGAGTTAAGTTCTTTGGTGTTTTTAGGGAAAAAAAAATCAGTCAGCGTGTAGTCAGCCTCTTTTCCTCCAGGAGATTTGCACTGTTGGCTTGGACCTCTGCCAGGGAGACCATTCAAGGAGGTGCAGGCGTCTTCTGGACTGCTTGGTTAGGGCTGGGCATCGTGAGCTCATGCTCGCCTGCTCTGATCAGCGTCTCATTTTAAGATGAATGCAGGTTCACGTGCTGTCGTAAGAAGTAATACAGCGGTGTCTCTACTGTGCTTACGTTCCTAGGGAGATTCTTCTGTATTTTTTCCCCGAGCATCAGCTACCATCAGAGTTTGGCCACACACCCCTGGAGGAACTTACAGCAGGTTCTGAGGTTAGCTGGCTTTTTTTAAACTTTGCGGAGATGACATAATAGCCTGAATTGAATCTTCAGTGCAGAGAAATGCAAAGGGTTACCTGGAATAGATTCAGTGAGTGAGGAACTTTATACCAAGTGGGTGGCTGAGAATTAAAGCTGCAATGGAAACAAAGGCGACCAAAGTTTAATTAAACTCTGGGAAGATTGTGCAGACTGAGATGGAAAGAGCAGGACATCGTCCTTGACCTCCCTCCCTGCACCAGAAATGGCCCCTGTTCCTTGGGCGCTCTCGCTCAGCCCCCTTTTATGAGGAGCCAAGGAGAAGATTGGGTTAGAATCAGTAGGACATCACAGGGAAGGATGAAGGAAACGGCATCCACATTTACGCAGTCTCCTCTCAGGGGCGAGGCTGTCTGTGATGAGAAGGAGAACTTTGCCCAGCCGCTCCCTGGGGCACACGGGCTGAGCGTGGCACCGGCTCCCAGGAGGCAGGCCCTGAGCTGCCGAGTGCCCGCAGGCTGGGCCCAGGCTGAGTGAGGAGTGCAGGCCCGAGGCCACCCGAGCTGCTCCCAGGGCTGGAGGCGGCCCAGTGGGTGCAGAGGGTGGGGGGCTCCGTCTCCATCCCCACGCCTGGTGTCGCTTGTGGAAAAGATGGGAGCACACAAAAAGGCATCAGTGAAGAGCAGAGGGGCTGCGTGCCTTCACCTGANGAGGGCTTCTTCCTGTAGCACCTCCTTCTACTAAATGTTTCTAGGTGACCTCGACTAGTCTCTAGCTTTAAATACTGACCCATGGGTCAGTGTCTGTCCCCAGATTATTTCTGTTGTGTCCCCATCCATGATATCCTGACTCCAACCTCTTTATTTATTATTTATCATTTACTTTTCCCTCACCTTGATTTTCTTTTTCATCTGCAAATTTTACAAACCATATTGTATAATGTAAGCCACCTTAATCGTTTTTTAGAATGAGGTGAGGTCTACTGTAGGTAATTAATTTAATTAGACTCAGGCTTAAAAGACCCACAGTACCAATATTGGCAAGTTCTAGACTCTGATGCTTTGTTTATGCCAGATACTTACACGCTATAACTCTACTGTAGACAGCTCATTCTCTAAAAGTTAATATCCTGTTCTGTTATCATTTATGAAAACAGCTGGAGCAGTGCCCAGAACAGACAAACAAAAAGCTGAAAATGTGTTTCAACCAGGTAAGCTTCCTTTCAGTGCAGTCATTTATATTCTAAATGATCCTGTGTTCCAAAGGAGAAATAATACACATTTCCAAATGTTACATTTGAAAGAAAATCAAATTTGCATTCACTTATCAAGACTTAGATTAATGTGTAGCATGTCAGATGTCACAAAGCAACATCGTTTTGAATTTTAAAGATGCAAATGTTTCCCAACCATAAAGCTTATGAAACACTTGGAATTGGACTATATTTTGAACAGGAAATGTGACATTCAGAGTCTTTAAGAAATAGAGTCATTGAATCTTCGATATACTGTGCTAAATCAGAAATCATTTGTATGTCAACATCTTTGTTTTGGACAATATGATATCTCTTGGGTTTTTAAAATTCTATCAACAGTTTTTTAAGTTTATGATTTTTCTCTTTTAAAAGTGGATATAAAAATAGTTAATGCTGATAAAAGAAATTAAAAGGAATTTTAAGAAATTCATCCATTGTCCCAAACCGTTCAGAGATCACTGGTATTTTTTGGTGTACTTCATTGTAATCTTTCTCTCAAGAGATGCTTTTCTTTCTTTCTTTTTTTTTTCAGTTTTCTTATAATACTGTGTATCTGGTTCTTAACGATTCCCTTAGTGGGGGACGGGAAGAGAGTCCACAGAGCCCCTCGGCTCTACTGCAGAAATATCTCAAAATCACATGCCCTCAACTTCTTTAGTTCACACTTAAGGGGACTGAGATTGCAAGGTGTGAAGTTGGCCCAGTCAATACAAGGGATTAGCACTGGAGCCAGCGCCACCCCGGAAGTTCCCAGATACTTCATGGAGGCCACCACAGTCTAGAACTTTTCATGGCACCAGGGTCAACGCTGAGATGTTTGGTCTCCACTGACCCTTCACCTGTATTTGCTCTGACAGGTGCACCAGCTCCATCACTAACACACATACTAGCATCTTCTTCCAAGTGCTTACGTTTACAGCCACCTTCTGGAAAGCTCTCATAATAACATGCAAATCTATAAAGACTGAGAGGTGAATCATGCTCCCTGAAGTTGTGTTCATTATAACTATAAGCAGAGGCATTTCCTTATCCCTTTTGCAGGGAATGGAGTAACGTTTGAATATTCATGTTTTATAAATGAAATGTAAGTTACCCGAAGCATATAAGTAGGCAGACTTGAAATGAAAATTAGAACCTAATCTAGATTTCTCCTAAAAAGGCTGTGTCACAAAGTGTTTGAATTTTGGGTGTGTCTAAATGTAATACCCCCGTTGATATGTTTGCCTCTGATGTCTCTCCCCGAGTGTCTGCTGGCCTGTGATAAGCAACTGGAAATGAAGGAATGCTGTAGCTCTTAATTTCTCATCATTGTTCAACTGAAAAATGAATTTATTTTCTGGATAATGTTTTTTTGAGAAAGCTGCAATTGAACATGTTCAGTATGAAGACTTAGCTGTCAGTGTTTCCTAATAGAATAAAAGCCTTTTTTTCCAACTTATTTTTCATCTTATTCTAGCACTAGTACTAATATTTTCATCAGTGAATCTAACACTGTGATTGACTAAGAGTCACTAGTGTCAGGCACTAAACTAGGCTTTTATTTATGTTGCCTCATTTGACTCTCACGTCACCGGGAAGGTAGGTGCCACTGTTTCCATGTTAGCAGTAGGGAAGTGGAGAATCAGAAAGATAACATTCCAATGTCATGATGCAAGTCAGTAGGAGATTCAGGGTTGGAACCCAGATTTGTCCCACTCCAGAGCTCTTTTCATAACCCCACCTTCTTCCATCTCATTCTTATCCAGACTGTAACAGTTCATCCTTACAGAATTTTCATGTGTTACTTGTAGTAGGTATATTACAGGCTTCTCAGGTGACTCAGGGGTTAAGAATCCTCCTGTTGTGTAGGAGACGTGGGTTCAGTCCCTAGTCTGGAAGATCCCCTGGAGAAGGAAATGGTAGCCCACTCCAGCATGCTTGCTGGGAGATCCCATGGACAGAGGAGCCTGGTGGGCTATGCAGTCCATGTGGTTCCAGAGAGTTGGCCATGACTTAGTGACTCAACAGCAACGACAGGTATACTGCAGCGTCTCAGCCCATTGGTATAAGAGATTCTTGGTGACTTACTAGCCGCCTTGACGTTACAGGATGAGTGGTGTGTGGGGAGATGCTGGCAGTAAGCTCTGGTGTGGGGAGGGCGTGTGGTGGGCAGGCTGCTCAGTGTCCCACCAGGAATGGCCCCAGCCCTGTGGTAGACAGCTGGACACAGTGCCAGTGAGGCCCCTGGGGGTCCCAGCAGATCTGGATCTATCGGTTAGGGAGCTCTGCTCTAAATGTTTACACCGGAAATCTTAGAACTTTGCTGAGAATTAGCTTGTCCTACATCTCAGCATATCCGGGTTTATACATGTCCTTCATGTCTGTTCTAAATGATATTTTTTCAGTGTCTACACTTGGTAGTGGAACCAAGTTGTTGGGTCTTGGAGGCCAGACTGAATATGTGTTTATTCAGTGTATTAATAGAGGATGAGTAGAATCCTCTTAATGTTCAGGGGAAGTGGGGTTCAAAGAATCAAAGCAAATAAAGAGTCAGGAGACTGAGTTCCTTTTGTAACTGAGAACACAAGCAAAATACAGAACAATTGAAATCGTGAGTTTCCTCACATGATCTTAGGGACTTTGTTAATGTCTGGTAGCCTTAAGTGCATGGTTATAAAAACTGTTAATATTAGAATCATTTGTTGAAATCTGTTAGGGGATAACCGCGCACCATGCTTTAAGGTATGTATGTTTAATGAGGAGAGGACCCCTGGTCGTTACAGACTTCTCTGGTCGCCTTGCCCTGACTGCGCCAGCAATGTCCGTGACTTCTAGGACGGCAGCTGATTCATAGCAGCATTGGTGATCCTGTGTAGCCCAGCCTGAGCTACCGTCTTTCATTCTTTCCTTTTGCAAGCCATCTGCTGCGTCCAAAATGGAGTTGCCCCAGCCTGCGACACTGGCCAGCCTCTGAGCCTTTGCCCATGGTATCCCCCCAAATACTCTTTCCCACGTCCCCAGCCCACAGGTGGCCCGCTGAAATCCCACCCACTCTTTGTAGAGCTTAGCCAATGCTTCCTTCTATCTCAAGCCTACCTTAGTCTTTCCATATGAAGCTAACTAATCTTGATTTCTGTATTCTGAGTGAACCTTAAAAAAAAAAACACCTCTATTTTAGCATTAATTAAATTTTCTGCCTTATATTACAGTAGTTTCTTGTATTCCATTTTCTCCCCAATTAGATTATAGAATCCTTGAAATTACCGATCCTCTCATATTCTAGAGGCATCAATAAGAACCTTTGATGCATCTGGACCTTACTATCATGCATTGAATCAAAGTTGATTATTTCTGCTGTAGTGCCTGCCTGCACAAACACGTGCATATTCTTATAAATAGAGGACAAAAATCTATAGATCTTGTAGGCCTGCCTTACTTTGTGCAAACTTGTTAGGATTCTGGAGCTCCAGAGCTGCCAGAGCTCTGACTTTTTAAATTCAAGGCAGAAAATTAAATCTCAGTTGAATATCCTTTCTTTCAAATCCTAATTCCATCCTGAATTAATCGGGTTTGGAAGAATCCCATTTTTGATTTGCCACAAATACCCCGACAAGAGTGAGTTTAACCAGCAGAACTAAACCTCTCATCCTGTTAACAGTCCTCTACCCACCTTAATTAGGATGTTAAAACAGCCAGAAGTCCTTTCACAATGAGCTTTAAAAGTTGTCAAAATTGTCACCTTTTATAGAAACCTCATGGAGATGTTAGCCTGAGAAAGGAAGAAGCGAAAATCAAGAAACTGGCCAAGTTGGCCAGTAGTGTTTGGAGGAAATATAGTTCAGTGGTTACAAGATAGTGAACTTTGAGAGACTGAATATGATTTTGAATATAGTGTGCTGTATAAACATTCTTAAAGCTATACCGTACTAACAGTGCTGTCTTTTGAACTTAAAAAAAAATTAATTATAGATACCCAGCAAATTATAGAATAGTGGAGAGGTCCCATGTACCCTTCATCCAATATTTCCCAATGCTTATATCTTTCATATAAGCATTTCATATAATTATAATATGATATCAAAACCAGGAAATTGAAATTGGTAGAGTGTGTGTCTCATTTTATCCTGTGTGTGGATTTGTGTAACCACCACCACTGTCAGGATACAAACTCCCATTTTACCACAAGGATCTCCCTGTGTTAGCGCACTATAGTCACGTGCCACACACGCAAACACCCCTCACCCCAGGCAACCATGAATCTGTCATCCATCTCTATAGTTGTGTCATTTGAGGAATGTTATTGAAATGGAATCATACAGTAGGTGTCATTTTATGAGTGGCTTTGTTCATCAATGAAATTCCCTTCAAATCCACCAAGTGTGACAGTTGTGTGTCTCTTTTTATTGCTGATAAGCAATACTATTATGTGTCTAAGTAATATTGTTTTTCATATTCTGTATTTCTTTTTAATTTTCTCTATTTGGGTTTGTTTTATTATTGTCGTTGCCTTTTATAAGAAAGTGTTTCCTGGCTATTGTTCAGGATGGCAAAAGCTATAAATTCTAAAGTTCTGAAAACTAAGAACTATAGTTGGCTGCTGACATCTGAACTGTCTATAACTCTGCCATCATTATTCCCACTGTGTTGAGTTATTTACCCTGCTCTCCCTTCAAGCTGTGGGAGATCTCACTTCCTAGATTTGATGGAAGCCTCCACTGGAAGTGTCTCTGATGCTTCCTGGAGGAGGTGGTGGTTGCCTTAGTTGTAAGCCATCAGCTTCTTGTAGGCTGAAGAAAGGGTGTTCAGAAATGGCTCAGGATCTCAGAATGTAGCCTGTTTTTCAAGGCAGGCTTGGCCCACATGCGTGAAAACCCCTTGTTGGTGAATGCTGAACACCTGCTGTCCCAACTCTTCACTGTTTAGTTCCCTGTGGCATTGGTGATAAAGGTGCATGAAACCGGTTTTCATTTTTTTTACATTGAGGTTACATTCCAGAGGGAAAGATAGATAGTACACACATAAGAATAAACATACACTGTGATGTGCTGTAAAATAATTGTGCAAGACAGTCACGGTGTGTTGGGGAAGGAGGCTATTTCAGAGACAGAGAACAAGGAATATCTGAGCCATGTTTTAATACTGGTTGAGGCCAGGAATGAGCCTTGTGTAGACCTGGGGCTGAATTTACTGAACAGAGAAAGCAGCAAGCGCAAGAGGGCCTGGGACAAGAGAGAGCTTGGTGTGTGCCAGGAAGATGGAGGCCTAGGATTTAGGAAGTAAGGTAAGACGGGGGAGAGCCAGGTCAGGGGTTTCAGGTCTGATGCCCTGTGCCCTCAGACAAGCATCCAGGCCGTGTAAGTCCCTACAATACCCAAGATTCCTTCACGTGGCAATCTATAGATCTCACAATGAAGTCTCGCCTTTAATACCGCACATGATATGTATATGGCCCACTGTAGTGGGTCCCCAGTCCCAAACATTCCCTCAGTCAGCAGCACATGAGAAGTTTACATTTGCAGGTAAATTACTGATGTCAGCCTAACTCAAGTACCTTAAGTCAGGACTTCAATGCTCTTCAGTTTAATGGAGACTCCACACCTTCCTCTCCACTCTAGTAATACCTGTGCCTGACTTGGGACACAATACACTTTCTCGCATAGGATACAGTATTCACACACTTGTATTCTCTTATTCTATAGAAGGTTGTGGAGGGCAAAGACTGAACCTTCTGTATGTCTTCATCACCTATTATAAAATTCAGTGCCTTGAATTTAGGAAGTAGTTTGTGACTATCTACTGAACAGAATTCAGTGTACTTGGGGATGTTTGCTTGTTTCAAGAATTGTATAGAGAAAGGAGAATTGTGTGGGAGGTCAAGGCGTAGTGAAATGGAATAACACGGACAGTGTCGGGCCAGGGCCTGCCCATGCAGTGAAGCGTGGCGGAACACAGACCCGGCTGCCTTACCGTTCTCCCGGCAACCCAGCGTGTTAGAACACGGAGCTCTCCTTATTGCAGAGACATTCGGATGGTGGTCAGAACAGAATTTGCCCTTATTTCTTTTCTCAGAATGCTCCCAGCCTCCTCAAAATGTTGATACAGGCCGTTCACCTCATTTTGAAATTGCAGCATTTGCTGTTCCATGCCGTCTCCCTGCTCCGCTAAGTGTCTCAGGCATGATAAACACGGGCCCCTGGAAAATCACCGAGGCTCTTGAATCAGCAAAGGGCATGCATGTTAGCAGATAACCGTGGTCTTTACGTCTGTCAAACAACCCAAGGCGACTGGCGAACTAGGAGTTCCTCTCATCGCAGCTTCTGCGCTTTTCAGACGCTACAGATTTGAGTCACGGATGATACATAATCTGTCTAGAAACCCCACGCAGCTGCTCTTCTGTGGTCACCGGGTGCCGTGGAGGGGGGCCCAGGCGCCTGCCCCCTCGTGTCCTGAGGAAGATGGTAGCCCTGTTGGGAGAACAGACCCAACCGTTACTCACTGTCTGCTTCATTTCCGAGCAGGGCTTTCTGAGCCGCCCTCGGTGTGCCTGCCTGTATTGTAGTCTAGACTGTTGTATGTTTTCCCTCCTTTCTCTTCCTCTTCCATCAGATTGTCAGTTCCCGTAAGGGGTGAGTGTATCTTAAACGTAGACTACCCAGGGCACACACATATAGGGACAGCTGTGTAGAACTGTGACATGAAGGGGAAAGTGGTCTTTTTAAAACACGCTAAAACTGTTTTAAAACCGTTCCCAGATCCGTCATGTGTACATGGTCCAGTATGAAAAGAAACTGAAGAGAAAAATGCAGTCTGTTATCTGCGATGCAAACAGGAGAGAAGAGGCTAATGAAGCATCTCTGGGACAGTGTGAAGAAAAAAGAAAACTGACTGAGGAAAAACTGAATAAGCTTCGTGTAAAACTGGCCGTATTATTGCAGAAGCTTCAGCTGGTGAGTAGGGAAGTGTTGTTTCAGCAGTAGGAACACATGCTGCGGAGAGAGCCCTGGGCTGACTTCCTCTCCTGACATCGTCGTCCACTTACTGAGTGGACGGGTCACTTTCTGTAGCCCTCACCCTCCCTAAGAAGGCCTGGAAATCACATAGAAATGAGTTTTCAAAGTGTAAGTTAGAACACTGTTAAAAGGCCTATTATTTTTTCCCTTAAAAAAAAAATCAGAAGCTTTGGGCTGTTGATATATTTCAATTATTCTGTCTTCTCAGTAGCATATTTCTAGTAGGAATTAAAAAAAAATTTTTCAGACAACAAAACATTTTAATTTTTATCCTAATATATAGGTTAAAAGATAGACTTTTCTAATCTTAGAAGCGAGGTTAGAGAAATCAGGAAATACCATGTAAGTATGAATTACTGTTCTTCTTGTTTGTTTGTTGTATATTTAAATGCATGAAGAATGGGGCTTCTGTGATAGATTGGGTCAGTGAGGAACAGTCTGTCTTTGATTACAGTATATAGAAATGCTGGGGAGACTATATCAAAAATTCAAATATATATAGCCAATGTTGAAAAGTCTCTCTGTAGATGCTAAAAAATAAATTGAGAAATCAACAGTGAGCCCAGGAACTATGTCTGTGTTGCTCAGCTTTTCTCGGGGTGTAAACAAAGGTTGTTGAGTGGGACTCCTAGGAAAGATCCCTAAGAGGGGTTCAGAGCTTCGTGGAGGCCCTCGGGGCAGGTCTGTGTCTGGAGAGGTCAAGGCGTAGTGAAATGGAATAACACGGACAGTGTCGGGCCAGGGCCTGCCCATGCAGTGAAGCGTGGCGGAACACAGACCCGGCTGCCTTACCGTTCTCCCGGCAACCCAGCGTGTTAGAACACGGAGCTCTCCTTATTGCAGAGACATTCGGATGGTGGTCAGAACAGAATTTGCCCTTATTTCTTTTCTCAGAATGCTCCCAGCCTCCTCAAAATGTTGATACAGGCCGTTCACCTCATTTTGAAATTGCAGCATTTGCTGTTCCATGCCGTCTCCCTGCTCCGCTAAGTGTCTCAGGCATGATAAACACGGGCCCCTGGAAAATCACCAAGGCTCTTGAATCAGCAAAGGGCATGCATGTTAGCAGATAACCGTGGTCTTTACGTCTGTCAAACAGCCCAAGGCGACTGGCGAACTAGGAGTTCCTCTCATCGCAGCTTCTGCGCTTTTCAGACGCTACAGATTTGAGTCACGGATGATACATAATCTGTCTAGAAACCCCACGCAGCTGCTCTTCTGTGGTCACCGGGTGCCGTGGAGGGGGGCCCAGGCGCCTGCCCCCTCGTGTCCTGAGGAAGATGGTAGCCCTGTTGGGAGAACAGACCCAACCGTTACTCACTGTCTGTTTCATTTCCGAGCAGGGCTTTCTGAGCCGCCCTCGGTGTGCCTGCCTGTATTGTAGTCTAGACTGTTGTATGTTTTCCCTCCTTTCTCTTCCTCTTCCATCAGATTGTCAGTTCCCGTAAGGGGTGAGTGTATCTTAAACGTAGACTACCCAGGGCACACACATATAGGGACAGCTGTGTAGAACTGTGACATGAAGGGGAAAGTGGTCTTTTTAAAACACGCTAAAACTGTTTTAAAACCGTTCCCAGATCCGTCATGTGTACATGGTCCAGTATGAAAAGAAACTGAAGAGAAAGATGCAGTCTGTTATCTGCGATGCAAACAGGAGAGAAGAGGCTAATGAAGCATCTCTGGGACAGTGTGAAGAAAAAAGAAAACTGACTGAGGAAAAACTGAATAAGCTTCGTGTAAAACTGGCCGTATTATTGCAGAAGCTTCAGCTGGTGAGTAGGGAAGTGTTGTTTCAGCAGTAGGAACACATGCTGCGGAGAGAGCCCTGGGCTGACTTCCTCTCCTGACATCGTCGTCCACTTACTGAGTGGACGGGTCACTTTCTGTAGCCCTCACCCTCCCTAAGAAGGCCTGGAAATCACATAGAAATGAGTTTTCAAAGTGTAAGTTAGAACACTGTTAAAAGGCCTATTATTTTTTCCCTTAAAAAAAAAATCAGAAGCTTTGGGCTGTTGATATATTTCAATTATTCTGTCTTCTCAGTAGCATATTTCTAGTAGGAATTAAAAAAAAATTTTTCAGACAACAAAACATTTTAATTTTTATCCTAATATATAGGTTAAAAGATAGACTTTTCTAATCTTAGAAGCGAGGTTAGAGAAATCAGGAAATACCATGTAAGTATGAATTACTGTTCTTCTTGTTTGTTTGTTGTATATTTAAATGCATGAAGAATGGGGCTTCTGTGATAGATTGGGTCAGTGAGGAACAGTCTGTCTTTGATTACAGTATATAGAAATGCTGGGGAGACTATATCAAAAATTCAAATATATATAGCCAATGTTGAAAAGTCTCTCTGTAGATGCTAAAAAATAAATTGAGAAATCAACAGTGAGCCCAGGAACTATGTCTGTGTTGCTCAGCTTTTCTCGGGGTGTAAACAAAGGTTGTTGAGTGGGACTCCTAGGAAAGATCCCTAAGAGGGGTTCAGAGCTTCGTGGAGGCCCTCGGGGCAGGTCTGTGTCTGGAGCGAGCTGGCATCATACACTCAGCACCCACACACTGTTGCTTCCCCAGCACTGTGGGTGGGCACCTCTCAGGGCTGCTTCCTGGCCAGCCTTTGGCTCAGCTCATTGTCGTAGTAACCTAGAAGATCCTTAGATACCCTAGAACCTGCTTTAAAATTATGCGGAACAGGGCCTGAAGGGGAAGAAAACTGTCTTGGGATGTGCAGGAAATTCGGACGTCGGCCCTGAGTCTGGGACATGAGATGGGTCCTTCCCGGGCCATGCAGGGTGAGAAGGCAGGAGCTGTCCCCCCGCAGAGTTGGGCCTGGAGGACGGCCTTGCTGGTGAACGGGGTCCACACGTGGTAGGGTTTCAGTGATGCCTGTTCTTTCACTAACGAGAAAAACTATAGAGACCAAAGTTCTTTATCACAGTAACAGAATACCGCTCTCTGTCAAGAAAGTTCATAAAAATCATTGGTTCTTGTAATAGCAAATCTGTTCAGCTAGGAAAAAATAAATGAAAGAGTAGTTTAAGCTTCTCCTGGGTTTCCTCAAAGTAACCCAAGTAATGATATCAGCACTAACTTAATTTGTTTTATTCACAAACTTTAGTAGAGAGGGGAAGGGCTTTAGCCACATCTCGTGAAATGCTTTATCCAGTATCACTGAGAGGTGCTCAAAGGGCTCCTGCTTTCCCTGCTGGAAATTTCCCTTGTCACTGCCTCGCCTGAGCAGCTACGATGGAATGGAGCAGAGACGAGAGGGTGGATGTTGGGGCGACTCGTGAGGAAGCTGAGGACAAGAACCAGCCTGGCGTCCTGGAAGGGAGTCTGGCCTGCTGGGTAGAAGGCAGGAGCCAGGGGATTAGACCGGACTGAATAGGCTGAGAGCCGTTATTGTCAGAAAAGGTCACACAGGGCTTGCCTCAGGGTCTGTGAATATTTTGAAATCCTCGTGAATATCGGCATCATGGAGACCCATATGCAGAAACAGGGTCCGAGTTAGAAAGCTGGGACGCGGCATAGTGCAGACTTGTTAGAGGACCGAACAAATCTAGGGCGACGGGAGCAAAGCAGACAGCGCATTTACTGGAACCAGAAGAGGGATGGAGAAGCTACGGAAGTGCCAGATACTTGGAAACAGTGACAACGGGATTATTCCTGAAAGGCCCTTCCTAAAATCCCTCCTGTCCATGAGCTCCGTTGGAGAGCAAGTTGATCCCGTGGTTGGGCCTGGGGGACTGAGATTTAGAGAAAGAGGGAGCATTTGTCCAACTGTTCATGGATCAAGAAACTCAGGGAAGGAGAGCTTGAGATTATGCTAGTAGAGTGCTGAGAGAAAGAGAGAAAGGGAGAGGGGGACAGATCAGGGCAGCAAGCCCAAGGCTGTGGGGAAGATGCTGCAGGGGAAGAGGAGAAACAGAGAAGTCAGAGTTTGCCCACCCGTCTCTTTTGCCTCTAGGCTCAAGATTCATGAGTTTTAAGATGGAAGAGGAGAGCCTGTAACACGCACACACACAAATGAGATGAGTGGGGGCTTTAGGAATATGACAAGAAATTAAATCAAAAGGGAAAAAAAAGACCACAGTTAAACAACCTCCACTAAAGAAGAAGAAGAAAAAGATCCAAGGTCCTAACCACTTGTGAACATAAAATGAGATTAAATGAAAGATCATTTCAAAAGGTTAAGAGCGCTATTCAGATGCAAACTGGGTTTTGTTGCTGCATGCCTGGTAGGGAAGGCTGATCCAAGGTCACCCAGACAACCAGACTCAACCCTATAGCTTCTTCCCCTATTACGACTGCTGCTTCTCTTTTCCAGGGTGGTCCAGCCGGAGACCTGGAGCAGATTGACGCTTACTTAGAAGCTTTGCTGAAAGAAGATAATCTCCTTTCTCAGAAGGCTTTTATAAATAAAGTGACTACGGATACAGGGCATTGTCTCCCTTTAGAAAAAGAGGAAAGTATTTCTTAAAATTAGAAGTCAGAAAAGGCATTCCCTTTTTAAAAATGCTAATAAGAAACAAAGGAAGAGTCTTTAAAAGAGGGATCTCCTCTGCTCTTGTTATTGTGAAGCTCGTCTTGTTTAATGGTAAGAAAATTTTGTATTTTAAAAATGGAGACTGAGTTATAATCTGCACATTTCCCAGTTCTGCGCTGTAACTCTTCCAGTTCCTGCAGAAACCATTTCCAGAGTTCTCTAATTCTCATGTGAGCTACTGAGAAAGACAGATATGTCGTTTAGGCTTGTATTTTGTTTTCACTAAAAAGATTGTAAAAACAGTGGTTCTTAAGAGCAATACGCAAAGGACTACAGAATCACTTCCTTATGAGACTTCAGTTGAAAAAGACATTATACCCCTTCTCCACTACAGCCAGCACTCAGTAAAGCAAGTAATATACATTCCCAAAACAACTTTGAGATATATTTTATATGATAATTTTATTATTGAGTTACAGAAAGAATCAGTCTTCTAGGCATAATGTGAATACATATTACACATGTGTGTAAGAATTGTACGTTTTCCTTGATAACTTTTATTTGTTTAGAAATGTTTGCAACTTTGGATAAGAGCAATAAAACATTTAATAGTTTGTGTAATTGTGTAATTTTATTTTTATGTCCATGCATGTAGTACAAAATTGAAAACAGGTGAAATGGAATATGGTGAAAGTTTTTACCATGTTCTTGTCTTTAGCTACTTAATTACTCTTCTTAAGAGGTATGCTCTTAACAGTTACTTATGAATTCATCCAAAATCAGTCAGTGTATATAAAACTTTATAAATTATTCTATGGATACAAATATGGATGTAATAGCATCCAAAAATGCTGTTTTTTTTCTCACTGAATTTATCTTCAAGATGATTACATATCAGAATCAGTACATGTAGGACTATCTTATCTTTAAACTGCTCCTTATTATTCCATTCTATAGGTACACCAAAATTTATTTTACATAAATATACATTTTATGAGGGACATTTACATTTTTCTTCTTTTTTCTTTCATAAGGCTTGTGCTTTTCATTCTTTTTTTTAACTAATTTTATTAAAAGTGTAGTTGATTTACAGTGTTTTATTAGTTTCTGGTGTACCACAAAGTCATCCAGCTATCCATGTATATAATAGCAGCATTTGTTAATCCCGAGCTTCCAATTCATTCCTTCCCCCCCACCTCCTCCCTCGGCAGCCATAAATCTGTTCTGTATGTCTGTAAGTCTGTTTCTATTTCATGGGTAAATTCATATTTCAGATTCCACATATAAGTGGTACGTGATGTCTGACCTTCTCTTTCTCACTGACTTTGCGTGGTATGATAATCTCTGGGTCCACCTATGTTGCGCCAGTTGGCCTTATTGCACTCTTTTATGGCTGAGTAATCTTGTGTATATTTGTAGAACATCTTTATCCATTCGTCTGTTGATAAACATTTAGGTTGATTCCATGTCTTGGCTATTGTAAATAGTGCTGTGGTGAACACGGAGGTATGTGTATCTTTTTGAATTATAGTTTTGTCCAAATAAATGCCCAGGAATGGGATTGTTGGATCATATGGCAGTGCTATTTTTAGTTTTTTGAGGAATCTCCATTCTGTTTTTCCATAATGGCTGCACCAGTTTACGTTCCCTCCAGCAGTGTAGGAGGATTCCCTTTTCTCCACACCCTCTCCAGCATTCATTCTTTAGTCATGGCTGTTCTGACTGGTGTGAGGTGGTACTTCCGTGTAGTTTTGATTTACATATCTCTAATAACCAGTGATGTTGAGTATCTTTTCGTGTGCCTATTGCCATCTGTATTTCTTCTTTGGATAAGTGTCTATTTAGGTCTTCTGCCCATTTTTCGATTGGTTATTTAGTTCTTTTGTTGTTGTTGAGTTGTATGAGCTGTTTGTATATTTTGGAAATTAAGCCTTTGTTGGTCACATCACTTGAAGATGTTTTCTCCCAGTCCATAGATTTTCTTTTTGTTTTGAATGGTTTCCTTTGCTCTGTAAAGGACTTCCCTGCTGGCTCAGATGGTAAAGCGTCTGCCTACAATGCAGGAGACCCGGGTTCAATCCCTGGGTCGGGAAGATCCCCCGGAGAAGGAAATGGCAACCCACTCCAGTAGTCTTGCCTGGAAAATCCCATGGACAGAGGAGCCTGGTGGGCTACAGTCCATGGGGTCACAAAGAGTCAAACACAACTGAGCGACTTCACTTCACTTCACTTCACTTTGTTCTGCAAAAGCTTATAAATATGATTAGGTCCCATTTGTTTATTTTTGCTTTTATTTCTATTGCATCTGGATTCTGACCTCAGAAAACATTGGTAAGATTTGTGTCAGAGAATGTTTTGCTTATGTTTTCTTCTAGGAGTTGTATTGTCCCATGCCTTATGTTTAAGTCTTTAAGCCATTTTGAATTTATTTTTGTGTATGGTGTGAGGGAATTGCATTTATTGACATGCAGCCATTCAACTTTCCCAGCACCACTTTCTGAAGAGACAGTCTTTTCTCCATTGTATATTCTTGCCCCCTTTGTCAAAGGTTAATTGACTGTAAATGTTAGGGCTTATTTCTGGGCTATCTGTTCTGTTCCATTGGTCCATATATCTGCCACTACCGCGATGTTTTGATTACGTAGCTTTGTAGTATTGTCTGAGTCTGTGAGGGTTATGCCTCCTACTTTCTTCTTTTTCTTCAGGATTCCTTTGCCAATTCTGGGTCTTCTAAGGTTCCATATAAATTTTAGGATTATTCTAGTCTGTGAAAAATGTAATGGGTAATTTGATAGGGATTATTTTAAATCTGTAGATTACTTTGGGTAGTGTGGCCATTTTAACAATGTTAATTCTTTCAATTCAAGTGCATGGAATATCTTTCCGTTTCTTTGAACCATCTTTAGTTTCCCTTATTAATATTTTAGAGTTCTCAGCATATAAATCTTTCACCTCCTTGATCAAGTTTATTCCTAAATATTTTTTATGCAATTTTAAAAGGGATTGTTCTTTTATATTCCCTCTCTGTTATCTCATTGTTAGTATTCATTCTTTCTTCCACATTTATATTTTCTCATCCTTTTGGATTTACATGCACACAGCAGTGAACATTCTTGTAAATATGGTCATTTCACATGTGTGCAGCTGTACTTTTTAAATGAAATTTCAGAAGATGAATTGTTGGGTCAGAGTATATGTACATTTTATGTATTGCTTAATAGCGCTTCATAAAAATTGTATTAATAAGCACCCCCAGCAATATATGAATGCCTATTTCCTGCCACCTTCACCAAAATCATGAATTATCAAACTCTCTTATGTTGTCAGTCAAATAGCTGAAAGTGACATATACTTGTAGCTTTAATGCACATTTCTTATAAGTAAAACTGAGTGCTTTTTCATGGTTAGAATTTCTTTGAATTTTATAATTTGGCCTTTGTTCATTTTTCAACTTGGCTATATTTCCCTGCTAATTTATAGGAGCTATTTTTATATTTACATTAAATATTTTATATTTTTATATCTTATGATGTGTATCACAAATATTTTCTCACAGTTTTTCATTTAAAAATTTTTTATGATGTTTTGAGTCATGTGAAATTTTTGGTTTAATTTTTGGTTTAATTTCATTTATGGCTTCTGGACTTTTAGTCATATTTAGAGAGTACTTTTCAATGCTAAAATTATAAAGAAAGTTTTCCTTGCCTTCTCTAATAATTTTGATGATCATATTGCTAAATCTTTGATTAATCTAGAGTTTATTTTGATGTAAGAGGTAAGTTAGAAATCTGACTTTGTTGTGTATGTTTCAAGATAGCCTTAACAATGAACCAGAATTAACAAATGAATAATCAATCTTTTCCCCAGTGATCTGCAATACCATATTATTGCATGTTAATTTTCTATTTTTATTTTTGCTGAGTTCTAAAAAACAAAAATTTTCTATTTTCTCTATTGATTATTTCATCTTTTATTCTCTTGTTGGATCCATGTTGTTTTGCTAGGGCTAGTTAATAATTTTATTTTTTGAAATATTCCTTTGTGTCCTTGCATGTGCAATTCTCATTCAAACTTAGAATGAGAATTAGGTTTTCATTCACCACCTACCCCTCAAACTTTATTGGTATTTTATTGGGTTTGTAGTAATATTATAGGTTAATACAGGTAGAATTGCATATATATATCTGTCTACTCAAGACCAAATAGGCTTTTCTATTATGTTCAAGTCTTCTTCACTAGTAACCTATATTAGAATTTTAAATTTTTCTTCAACTACATCTAGCATATTAGAGTTATATTTACTGTAATTAATTAGATTTATCATATGGCCTATTATAAATGAAATGTTTTTTTCCCCTTTATCTTTTGACTGGTTGATGTTTTATATAGCAAGATTTCTGATTTTTAGATATAGATGTTATGTCCAGTGTAAGAATCCTTTTTATCTCAAGTAATCATTATACAGATTTTTTTAAAGCATAGTTGGTATGACTAAGCACGGTTTCTGGATCTCAGGTCCTTACATTCTTGGTCTATCCAAAGTTTTCCTTCCATAAGGGATTTTCTGGGCCCCTTAAAAGCCCGTTACCTTCCTCTGCCATCATCAGTGTCCATTCTTCTTTAAGAATTGGTGATTAATGAATGTTAATGCTGAGAAGTCAGTGCCTCTGAGCACTTTTCTGGCAGACATTTAGAGTCTGAAGTGGGACTTCCTCAGAGAACGGTTTTTGAACATTTTAACAGAGTGTTCCTCGTATTTCCTAACGGAATAATCCTCAGGGCTGAGGCCTCAGTATCTCACCTTCTCTTGTTACTCAGCATAAGAAATCTCATCTGCTCTAATGGTTTCAAGTAATACTTCCAAATGAATAAGTCCTCAATTTCTGTGACTTTATTGAACACCTGTTATCTAACTCCAATTATAAACTAGAAATTTTCTGTTGAACACCCACATCGATGTGTTTGAAAGAAAACTAATCATAACCTCCCGCTTCCTGTCAAGGCAGTTCATTTAGGCTCCAGCGGGGTTTTAGTGAAGACGAAGGAATAGGGACGAAAGCAGTGACCAGACTTATGAACTGAGTCAACACGGGAACTGGGGAAATAAAGTGGAGTAAGTTTAGGGGAGGAGGTTCATCCTGGGACCAGAGGACTCCAGGCAGAAGTAATGTAATCCTGTTACTCTTAAATGTGGATTGTAGCACGCGATGGCTTGGGGACCACACAGACAACCCGTTTCCATTATTAGACCTTGGGTACAGCTTTTAGGCCCATTGGCTCAGCTTTGAAGCCCACTGGCAGTTTGGGCTTGGCTGGGACCAGGTAAGCTCAGGGATCAGAGTGGGATAAAACGAGCGCCAGAGAGCATGGTAGATGCAGGTGTGAGAGACGAGAGACAGGAACAGAAAAGGGGGAGAGGCAGTGGCAAGTACCATGCTGGAAGACACAGCTCAAAATCTCCCTTTTTCTGCAGGCCACACTTCATAGCTGTCACATCTACAACTCTTCTTACTGCTGCTTATTTACTTATTTCCCTCTCTTGTACATAGAATTCCTTTCATTTTAACAATACTCAGAATGTTTCATTTTTCCATGGCTTAAAA